GTAGTAGTAGTAGTAGTAGTAGTAGTAGTAGTAGTAGTAGTAGTAGTAGTAGTAGTAGTGTCCTGTTGTGTGAAATTGGTTTTTCCTGTCGTAGCTCATATATGAGACTCTGAAATGAATGGAATTTGCATCTCTGGCAATCGCGACGAAGTGGTGACCACTCGCTTGGCGTATCCTATAGTGGAGGTAGCGTAGAGGACGAGGGAGTTTGGTCAGGTCTACGGAGGAGGTAAGTTCGAGGTGTTCTCGACTTTAGTGAATTCTCGATGGGGTTTGTTTGAGTCTAGTCTGAGTTTTATACATGTTTTGAACTCCAGAAGATCTGTCGGGAATCTCAATTTTTTATGGTAAAGGTTGTCTTCCGCTGTGAAGCTTGTATGAGGGGCTATTCGTCCCGCAGATGAGAGTGTTGTAGTGTTGGTGTTGTTGCTCCTTCTGATGGACCAAGTTCGAATATGCGATGTTGACACTGTACGAAGGGCAGCAATGATTGGTAACGAGGAGTTTGAGGCGATGGACTCACTGGTGAGGAAGGAGGGCTACTGTCACCCTAGTGCTTTTAAATAGGTTACAATAGTGCCGTCGGCTTCCTTTACCACATTTGGGGCTAGATGGGAGCTCTTCTCAGGAGTAGTGGGGCCGTTCAGTCCATACATGCCTGCTGATGTACCCCTGTGGTTGGCTTTGTATCTAGAGAAGATCAACCGGTGGGGAGGTTAGTGACAGCGATGGGTCATCGTAATATACAGATATATGGATGTTGCTTTCAATCTATGTTTACGATGGTTCAATGATGATTGTATGTAAAAACAGTAGTAATGTTCAGGAGCAACATTCACATTGGAGTTTCACTCTAGTGATATGAAAAGCGCTAGTGAAAAATATGTTTCACGACTACTGTATATCACCGCGAAAATCGCGTTTTTTACAGAGTATTACACCACTTCACGTAAAACGGATGAAACTCAATTGATATATGTATTGCTTTTAGTATTTATATGAGGAGTTGCTGCATCGGTTGAAATCACTAGGTGTTCGATTGAAGCACCTGAGTGGCTCAACGCGACACATTTACGGCAACAGCTGGCGGACGAACGCAGGTTGCCAGTAGATGAGTTTACAGATGTACATGAACATTACCTCGAATTGGCACATGTACGTATGCATATGTAGTTTGGTCGTGTATGAGTTGAGGCAGATACTACTGAATAAACGTCCTTGGTTGAAGAGCAATGCGAACGGAGGGGAGGTGGTCGGAGGCGGCTCGCAAGACCCCTTGGGAGGGTCGAAGGCTCAAGCGGAGGTTCGGGTTCTATTGGAAGGTGAAAGTGCGGTGATTACGAGTGATTATTGTCATACCACATTTCCTAGACATTCTGAATATAAGACGCCACAAGATACGAGAAGGTATCAAGATGCTCGACACCGATGTTGCGAATTTGGACGTAAGACCATCCTTCTCAGCGTGTCGGGAGTCTTTGGTAGGTGTCCAAACTATCCCGACTAGAGCTGGCTTGTATAAGGAGTCAATCACTGTCATTAATGGACAAAGCTCAGGAGCTCCTCACAATACGCGAGGCTGCAGCTACGGGCGGCTGAGAATTCTCTTGTATGATTGTGTATTAGAAGTGCATCATAATTCGCCCTTTGTTTGATCGTTTCACTGAGAGGGATCGATGGCCTTGGTTTTTACCCTTGTGCAGATTTCGGCAGGATTTTGATACTCTGTGAAAATGAGCCGCGCGCGTGCTAGTCCTGCTCATGGCGCTGCTCGCCGCAAGCCTACTTATGAGAGGCCGGGAATGACCGAGGTGGGGAGTAGAAGTTTAGGTGTGTGTTATGTTTTTGGATAGGATGAGATAGATGAGATTCGGGAGGCTTTTAATCTGTTCGACACTGATGGAAGTGGCACGATCGATCCGAAGGAGTTGAAAGCCGCTATGCAGAGTCTTGGATTTGAGTCTAAGAACCCCACTATTTATCAGGTAGAATTTCTCGGGAAGAATTTGTGTGAGGATGTACTCAGATGATCGCTGATCTTGAGAGGGAGAGTAATGGCGCTGTTGATTTCGAGGAGTTCTTGGACAGCATTACTAATAAATTGGTGAGGAAGGTGTGGTATGGCGCGGAGTGGGAAAATATACACATGGCTAACTACATGTGTGGAAATTCTGAGGAAAATTGAGGAAATTCTCATTGGTTTCTGTACACTTTGGTATGAAAACTTCTATAGTGAGGAAACTTCTGGACTGAGCTGAAGGCACTAGTATGGGGAAATGTATGTGTTTATTGTTAGGGGGATAAGGAGTCCCGCGAGGGAATAATGAGAATATTTAATCTCTTTGATGATGATAAAACTGGTAGGCTCTGATATTATAGTGACATGATCTGGATGGGCTGTAGGTACTATTACCATCAAAAATCTACGCCGTGTTGCTAAGGAGCTCGGAGAGGTAATAGGGGAGGAAGTGTCCTTGATAAGGTGGCTCTTTTGGCAGACTATGACCGATGAGGAACTACGCGAGATGATCGAGAGGGCTGATAGTGAGAGGATGTGGGGGAGCTGGTCCTTGTGGATGGTTTCCACTTAGGCAATGGTGATGGCGAAATCAGCGCGGAAGATTTCTACAATATTATGACTAAGAAAACTTTCCCCTGAATTCGCGAATATTTTTTATGGTGCGCATAGACATTATTTGATAGTATAGGAATTGTTGAGTTCAGCAGAGGGATAGTGAGTGTAGTTTTCCGCGATGCCTAAGAAGAAGAGTCGATCGTCGTCTTGCAATGGAGCAGCAGAAGTTCCTAGAGGCTTTGAGGAGCTCCTGCCTGCCGTTCCTGGAAATACTAAGTCCACTTTGAGGCCTCAATTGTTGAGGGTGGCTAAGTGTTTTGAGGTGGATTGAAATAGATTTGTGGGTAGTAGTGATGGTAGTAGGTTCGTCACAGTGCAGTGAGCGGGATGGGCTTGTACGCGTCGGAGGACATTCCAGAGGGGTGTATTCTGTTGGAAGAGCAACCAGCGGTCATCATAGCACCCCGCAGGTAGGTGAGGAGGACGCAGATGGGGAGGGGGATGAGGGAAATAGCTCTTAGGGGAATAATGGAAAGACACATGCAATAGCCTTGAGAAGTGACTCTCGGTGGGGCATATTGGATAAAAGTACATTTATTGTGTCATACAGCTCACCGACCAGAGAGGTATAAAGAATGATCATTATACGTTTCTCGGTAGAATCTAATTTGTCTGGTCGCTTCGAGAGGAAGTTGACGTAGTCAGATCTATCTGTATTAGGAATCCTAATACAGATAGATCTGACTACGACCTATTAACTCCTAATAACTCCTATTAGCTAACTATACTCCTAATTTAGGATCATTTTGAGAGTCTATGATGATATGATTGTTGGTGAGCTTGGGAGCATTAGTCTAGGGCTACTGCTGTCAGTGGTGTTGTCGATTTTCAATAGTCGTTGCTGTTTTTTCTCTCAGAGAATGTGCGGTTGCGGGTACGCTGGACAATCTCCTGTGGATCATGAAGAACTTCTCAGATGCTAGAAAGCTCCGACAGGTAAAGTAATGGAGAAGCATGTGCGGCCATTTTGGCCGTTTTTCAAGTTTCTTTATCCCCGGAGTAGTGGCGACTTGGAGGCCTTGCCCGATGGTATAAAGGATGATATTAACTCGTTCGCTCATTTCTTCTCCCATGAGCAGTCAGCTAAGTGGCTGGCCCGGCCCGAGCCGTGGAAAGCAGTAATGAATGTCTTCGATGACGAGGAGGAAAGTAAGCCTGGCGGCCTCGCTGCTCACGCTAATGAGTTGAATGTGTGTGTGTTTGCAGCACCTAGCGAAGCGTTGTGTCGAGATTTCATCGCTACTTTTGAGGACTTCAGACGGAATCATAGTGATAGAGAAGTGAGTTTTTATGAGGTTGTTCTACGTTGAATGGCGTGAAGTCGCCGCGCATAGTGAATGTGCATATGGAGGTTCCGGGTATGTGACGATGAAAGCACCGTAGCTTGGAAGAAATTTTGGAACTAGTCGTATGCATAATTTTTGGCAGTACTGTTTCGTTCAAGCTCAGGAGTGCTGCAGTGTAGGAAACAGTTATGAAATGGCAAGAATCATGCAGAGCGTCCCACATGAAATTTCCATTCTATCGGGAAAATGATTTACAGATGTTATCTGTCAAGTCTATGGAGAGACAATGTGAATAATTTTTTCCGCGATAATTATACGCCCGTACATTGACGATATTTCTGCTAAAGGTGCCAACGGGGATCAAATTCCGTGTATTGGGTTGGAGAGTAATCAGATGATAGATCGCTAAGTCGATTATCAGTAACGAAACGGAACTTCTTATGGCGTATGTAGTGTCGCGGATGAGCCTTCATGATGATGAAGAACGATGGCGTGCATAGTTCATTGTGATCAGATTAAAGAGATGGCTGCAGTGAGCGAATGTATCGCGTTGAACTCCTTCAAAAACACCGTCAGTCGTCGCGGCCTGCCTTGCATCGGAGCAGCCACTTGCGTGTTTATAGTGGCCAGTCTGCTGAATCACAGTTGTATGCCAAATGTTTCTATATCGACGTACAGTCCCGAAAATGTTCACACACGTAATAGTAGTAGAGGTCTCGGCAACTGATTCGGTTTGGAAGGTCCTCTCCTCACAGCGATCACGGTGCGACCGGTGCTAGCTGGTGAGCAGCTGAGTATGTCTTATTTTGGCCATCATTTGGCGTAATACCAATTCAGAGGGGATTTGAAGTTCATTTTCCCGTCAGATTTGCAACTTCGCCGTTTTTCGACTGTCTTGAAGCAAGACGCGACCAAATGCTGAGGGAAAAGCATTTCGTGTGTATGTGTGACAGATGCCAGGATGAATCAGTAATACTTGTATCCAAAACTAGAGTCTTAGTAGTCAGCGACATCCCATAGAGAACTTAGTGTTAAAAGTTGGTACGTTTTTTGAAATGATCGGCTATTTCTTTGAAATTTCGGGTAACTTGATGAAAACAGTTGGTGAAAAAACTTCATTTTTTTCAAAAAAAGTGGTAAATTATTGAAAATTCTAGCAGACCCTGGAAGTGATGTAGTGAAGCAACGAGGAGTTGTCTTTCCTCGTGATGGGGCGCATACGGAGGAGTCTAGGGAAGGGCCTCTTAGTGGAAATTATCGAGTTCGACTGCAAGTGATGTTCAGAACGGCCTCAGTGACTGGGAGAGTCTTCACTGCCCTCTGTGTGATGATGGGGTTTGTGTTAGACGAGGCGATGCATTCAGATGTCGGAAATGCAACAAGGGTTATGAATTGCATGGAAGAATCACTTCTTGATATTTATGGGCTCAGACTCGATTTCTCTGAATGACGCTAAAAAGTGGCGGTCGAAGGCACTTCTGACGTTAAGGTTGATGGTAAACGTCATGCACGATGCGCTGACAGCTGCACGGGCCAGCGGGGAGACGGAGAGCTTGGTGCAAGTCTCCGATAAACTCACTAAGTTGGCGGTCCAGGGCGGGGTGGGTGTTGGTCAATGAGCTCATCTGAAACGACTGTGTCTGGATTTTGCAACTACATCTTAAGAAGCGAATTACGGGGCTAGTACACTAAAATGTGAATGATCGTTTGTCTGGAAACTATACCTTAGCTTCGCTCCGCCCTGGTATTTCCCCTTTTGGACGGAATCCGCTTCTGGGAAGTATGAACATGCATGTATAAGTATGATAGTGTGATCTCTAATATAACGTATGTCATAGTTTGTGTATAATCATGCAGGTGCTTCCAGAGAGCCTCGGAGGGTTGCCATTTCCCGAGAGAGAAGTTATGCCACATGAAGGACACTATGTGGTGGGGAACTGGACAGTTGGCGGTCGTGCGTGATAAGGCTTCCTTTTGAGGTCCACAAGGCGTTGACGTTGCTAGTCCATGCTCATCGGTTGAATGCTAGGAGGGTCGTTGAGGACAACTGGTACGGTTTACTGTCTTTAAATAAGCATGCTTTTGGCCAGGCCGTTGGTTTTGCAACAAAGTAAGGCCCTTTGTACTGCGAGAAAAGCGTTGAAAATTGGAGCGATCTTTGACGACACATTCGCGGACGACGGACAACCGGGGGAAGATGTCGAGCAGCTAGAGACGTGGATGCATATCATTGAGAGTACCATGGGTTGTTGATAACTCAGCTCGATTTGTGTTGTACACTAATGAGCAACGTTCAGGGAAGGAGTTTTCTACAATAATAAATGAATTCCTTCTCCGCTTCGCGTGCTGCAATTGTTGGCAGTAGTGGAATCCCGACCGCCGCAGCGGTTGCGTCGGCTCACTCAGAATTCTGTCCCCCCGTCGTGCGCAACACATTCGTCCTGCGTTTTATGAATCGAGGATTGTCTCACCAAAGCAGTTACCAGCAGGGCGCACCTGAGCTCAAGTCAATCGTTGCCCGATTACTAAGTTTTGGCGACATTCAAAAACTGGATTTTCAACATTGGCGCGAGCTCGAGGTCATTACTGCTTGCTACTTCGACACACGAGATGCTGAGAAGGCCTTCGACCATTACTATATGCTAGGGGAAGAATCATGGGAAGTCGTGTGGTCCGAGAGTCACCAGGAAACCGCCTATTTCGTGAGCATGCCGGCTGAAGATCTCGCTATCTCTGATCCGAGCCAGTATGGGGATATGGCCAATATCTCGTCCCCTCCAGATGACGCTGGTTCGGACTTGAAGTTGCTGATCCAATTTTTCGACTGCAGAGCCGCGCGGTCAATGCGAGAGGCTCAGAAGAAGACAGTCACGGGATTGGTCGTGAATGACCCTGGCTCCGCCTCAACTGTGTCTAGCAGTTTACTGGGGGCTGATTTTGGTGTCACTCGTCTCGCTGAAACAACTCCTTCCCCGGTGCTCTTGGACACCATATCTCGAATGCCATCGTTATCACCAACACCTGTTACGAGGGCGTCCTCGGGACCAACTTTTTGCACTACTTTCCTTGACTCAGCTGATGCTGGCCGTGGTGACTACAGCATCGACCCTGATTGCTGTTGGGCTGATTTGCGCACGACAGTGATGATCAAAAATATACCGAATAAGCTCACTCAGCAACGGATGTTGAAGATGATTGATGATGTATCAGCTCAGAGTTATGATTTTTTCTATCTTCCCATTGACCTGCGCAATCGCTGCAATGTTGGGTATGCATTTATTAACTTTATAGAACCGACACGCATCGTGCCATTCTATAGAGCATTCCATGGCACTGGTTGGAAAAATTTCAACAATTCCAAGAAAATATGTGACCTAAGCTATGCCAGAATCCAAGGCAAAGAGGCCCTCATGCAACACTTCAGCTCAGCAACTCTACCGAAGAATCCTGCAATGCGACCACTGTTCAGGGTCGGTCAAAGTCTGCAACCTCTCCGTGTGCCAGGAGAGACTACTAGATATGCGAGCTGTGTGGTTGGTATGGAACCATCATCGTCCTCTATCTCTTTGGGTGGTCTTCTACCGGTGCCCACCAGGGCCCGAACGTTGCCTGTTGGACAGCGACTGCATCAATGGTGATGATTATGGTGGTGTTAACCTTTTTTATCGACATTTCCTGTGAAGTTAATTGCCCAGCTGCTCTCCTCGAGACATGCGGAACAATTCTCGAAACTACTATTTTCCATCTCAATTGGGTTTTTCATCCGGAATTGCTTCTCTCAGTTTCGCCAGGGACGTGCTTCATGTGTTGTTGCTGCTCCCAGCGAGTTATCGCCCTATACCATTGCTATTGCCACTATCATTTTCGCAACCCGTATTTCCAATGACTTGTAGTTATAGTCTATTTCGTACTGTCGGTAATGCTACCGGCTTTCATAGTTATCTCTTTTAGCTTAGTAGAGTCGGTCAACCTGCTAGTAGTCTATCATCAATTTCTCCTGCGCACATCAATATGCAGGCTCCCGTTGCTTGAGGTTGGTGCACGTTAGATTTTCGGAGTAGTCAGTGCGTGCCATTATTTCGCTACAAGAATCGCATCAACTTCGTGTGCCACTATATTGTGAGAACGTTGTTGGGTTATATCGATAGTGGTAAAGCTGGTAGCTACAATCGGTGGGTATATGATCAAACCAAACGAGCTGTAATATGATACCACTAATTTGCTTGGATACGGATAGTACAGAGATTTTCTCAATTATTTGATCACGTCGAAGACTCGAAACCGTCCGAGAATACCTTACACTCATTATTCTCGTTACGTCTGCCGCAGTACTTTGGCAGTATTGATTGACCTTGATCTAAGAAGCCATGATAAAGTTTATCAGATAAACACAACAGTGCAGTTTTCCCAGTAGGTGAATACAGCAAGACTTAGTAATCGTGCGTATGTCTTTTCCACATTAGTACGAGTATCGTACGGAATCATTCACCACTCCGTCGTTGGGGAAGAGTTTACCCTGTTCGCTTCGACACGGTCTGTCGGGGTCTGAGCAACTCACTAACGGCATAGGGGATAAGCAACACGCCTGAGTGGTAGCATAAAATCATGTTGAACACTGAGTTACTGATAAACCATGATTAGCTGAAAAGTTGGGAGATATGCTTAGTCAGGAGACTAAATACAAGTGAAATCTGATGCAATCTCAGTGTAAGTTATACTCGATACAGAAAACCTGACAGGTTGGACGAACACGTTGTGACAGACAGTAGGATTTCTTAGGAGGCTGAGCCTCCTCCTGCTTGGCTCAGCCTCCTCTTGACCGTCCATGTTACCGAAGTCGGTTTCGAATTTATATCCTCCATCGAAACCTATATCCAAATTCCCGACGTCTGGTACTACCGGAGCACCCCCACACACCTCTGCCCATCCTTTCAAAGGATTCCTTTGATGAACGTCGCAAAACTCTCATACAGAATGTAGAAGAGGTTTGCCTCTGGTCCAGAGGCTCTGGAGCACGGCATAGCATCAACATTTCTCTGAGGCTCAAAATCAGACCAGATTCGGATGGCTCGGTTCGGGATATCCAAGGACTGATATTTAATATTGAGTTGTTGAAGCAATGCTGCCGACATATTGTTCGATAATGGGCATTTTGTGCGAAAGATGAGTCCCTAAAATTAATCGATTGCCGTCTAAGCTCCACAGAGAGTCTCGGATTTGATTGCGGGATTACGCTGCCAATCGTAGGTTCTAATGGCAAGGGTTGTTCAATGAGATTATCATCAGTCACGTCATCATATAGATCACCGAAATCGAACTAAACTGAATCATTATCACTATCCACCTCCTCTTCTTCGCCATCCCCCGTCGGCAACGCAATACTAGAAGATGGAGATCCGCTACAGCCTTGTAACCACTTCGGATTAACCAGATCTGATGCCCTCTCTTCTATCACGCGCCGCAAAAGTTCGTGACGGTGCAGATCTGCAGCATAATCCAAACCAAAGCTTGCATGCTTCAACATATGATCATCGAGATACCGTCCATTTGGGAGACCACCCTCGTACTCTAATAGGGGAAGTTCCCCGTAGAAGACTTGAAGTCAGCCCAATCTCTCAAATCGGTGATGGGGCATATGTCTCGGCCAGCTTGTTGTGAAGCACGCCGATTCCACTCAGAGGCAAGCTCGTGGACGACTGCATTGAGCAGTTTGGCACGCATACGTGATGATTCATGGGATTTCGATAACTCGACATGATAACCTTCGAGCTGGGAAGTCGAGCGTGCGACTCTCCATATCGCCTGAGTAAAATCGCCTATAAATTCCTGAGCTACTTTCGTGTATAGCGAAGCATCAACATGATCGGAAAGGCACTCATGATCGACATCATGTCGACGACATGTTTCATGTTCTCGTTCCACTGCTCCTGGATTCCAGGACCTGGAATCCATCTAGGAGCAAGTTTCTCCGAGAAACCCCTCACCGTTATGCGCAAGTTGTTCGTCCGATTGAGTACACAAAGTATAGAAGGCTTCAAACCTAGTTCTTAGCGCCCGTGACTCCGGTATCATTCCGGAGTCACATACCGGAGGTATGTGCTTACGAACATAGCGACTATATTGCCGTCTGGTCAGCATCTCAATCCACGGTCCACTACTCCGCATTGCTCGCAGCGCAAGATTCGCATCCTCACGATTTACTACGAAGATGCATTGACGTAAAGCCGAGAAGAGGGATGGACGGACAGAATGGTATCCACGAACTGTTCGTGGATGTTCGTGACGAACGCACATCGGATGTATATCGTGGATTCCACGATATACATAAACGACTTTCAATTGACTTCCCCGACCAGCATATTGAAGCTTTATTTTGTCCACCGTGGCTTCAAGATTACCAGTATCATCGGTATCAATCAATATATGAGATATTATGGCCCTCATCTCGTTGATCATTCATATATGAACCCGGAGCAACCTACTGGCCCCATTATGAATATATTTTGCGTCCGTCCGAAGTATGGATCCCATACTTGATCTCACGGCTAGTTGGAGGCTTAGAGGGATGGGAACATCGTTTTCCAGATGAACTAGGGCGAAGGCTGTGCAATACCAACCAGAGCTTAGCCAGGAAGTTCAGCTGAATGCACAGCACTAGAGAGGGTGATTATGAGGCATGTGCTACCGATGTGATACAGTCCCGGACCGTACGGAGGCTCTCGTAGTGTGGTCTTCGTACACATGTGTTGAGCGGGTGATAGTAGTGCTATTCGCTCTCGTCCTGTGCAGTCTCTCCTGAACAGCAGAGCTTTTCCCAGTCATATTGAGCCCTGTCTAGCCGAGTAAAGTGAATGAACAGTGGGCAAGCTCATTGCATAGCCCCTATCGACCATAGGCTATGGTCGCCATCAACACGATTGGGGTCTTAGTTGGAGGGGCAGCATTTATTAGGAAATTGGAAGGTCCACAACGAGCCATAAGTAATCGGGCTATGATAAATTCAATAGTCGAGTACAGGATTTAGGGCACGCGCCAGACATCTTGCGCATATCGTATAAATCTCGCAGGTAAAACGTATCTCCTATCAACCACGGATGTGCGGACGTCTACTAGACGTTGTCTGGTAATGTCATACGCTGCAAGAGCGTTTATCTTCTTCGGAGATAAAAGTATGCAGTCACCCGCTAATATTTTCATAGATTTTGGTATCGTTGATTCGCGTCGGAGAGCTCTCAACACGTCCCCATCAGCCGGAACGCAGGCATTAATACTTGTGAGCTAGGTCTCTCTTATGCGTTGCTTCCCACCTATTAATTCTAGACGCAAAAAATTATTCAAAACTGTTATCTATCGGATTCGAGCTCGTGGTTATACTCCAGAGATCCCCCGGAGCGAAGCAACGGGATCTGCTAGTGGAACTTACGAATTAGAGAACGAAAGTTCAAATTCACGGAAGTTCACGAAAAACATAACTGTGCGGCACAGTTTTGTTTTATTCCACGCGTATGATTTTCCTTTCCAAAAAGACTTCATGAGGTTCACCATAGTAGCTTACGCTTGTTTAGCAATCTGGCTTGGGTCTGGCACCATTCCGACTATTCAATAAACTCACAATCAGCTTTCCCGACAAGCGCGAGGTCAATCGGGTATTGCGTGTCGCAGGGTAGAAAACACACGTTCGAGCACGTTTGGGTCGAATAAGCAGCACAATGTATTCCGAACATCTCGGTAGAACGAAAAGTACGATGAACTCTTCCCTACTTCTTTAAGAAAATCACCGCCTTCTGAGAGACTTCCAGAGCCGGCTTCCTTATTAGTTAGGCTCCTAGGTCTCTCAGATACTGGTAGTACTACACATTGCGCGGGACTTTGTTCGCCCGCACAAACTGTGCTGAGATGATGTTACACGCAATTCGTAACAGAAATGTTCATTCCGTTTCGGTAAAAGATCATTGGCGTGCCGAGTCGATCCATCGACAGGCTCTTTCAGGCTATAGTATCGAATATACAATGAAAGCTTTCTCAACTTCTATCTTATTCGCACTACTCGCACTATTCTTCCTTACAGGATGCAGCAAGAATAGTAAGTGTATTGAAATCTGACTTGCGCATTTATCTCATCTTTGTCAGAGAAGACAACCGTCAAGCCGACGTCTCTCCATTCTACGACTCACCACCCTACGACCAAACCAGCGACGACTACCAAGCCAGCGACGACTACCAAACCAGCGACGACTACTAAACCAGCGACGACTAAGAAGTCCCTGAAGTGAGCGTCGTTCCCCAGCGGCTCGCCGGTCGGCGGTCCACGGGCTTATATTCTGTTATCTTTTCTGTTCAACGAATCGCTTAGTCGAATTTTTGAGCATTCCCAGTGCAACTCTTTGTACAGAGTTGCCCGATTCTTTCATTACGGAACGGCCTCCACAGTACTCCAATAGTACGACTATACCTCAAATCGTATAAATAACTTTATGAGTCCGATGCAAATTTTGTTATCGAGTTGAGTCAATAAAGTATTCTGTGAGATGGAGGACTGAGCCGCTCTTGAACAAAAAGCCATGATGTGAGACTATTGCCTGCGGGTTCGACTATTTTTCGTCAAATTTCTATTGAAATGCCTTAAAATGCATCCTTTGCCGACTACAACGTTATACTCATGAAGTGCACGAAGGCTGTGCGGCGGCGAGCGTCGGTATCTACTTCATACGCGCCAATTTTTTTCTCAGCGCGCCACTTTTTTCCCCTTAAGCCACTAATCTCTACTCCACGCCACTGATTTTTCCTCACGCAGCACAAATCTTTCTTTCCCTGGCACAAACCCCGCGTGTCCAAGATTTGTAGGGCCACTACCTCGCGTTCCTGGTTCACATGAGTAACGTCTTAAACCTCCTTAACAGTTCGGGTTTTGGGTGGGTTTTCGGGTTTCCTTTTCTCCGCTTTCACCTGTAATTCCTTCTTTCTTTGGGGAGCCTGTAGTTTGGATTGCACTTGCATTACAACCATAACCCGGATAACAGCCCGAGCTCTGACTGAGTCCAAAATCGGAGAGGAACGGATTACCAGAGTCCTATTCGACCTGGCACGAGTCAGTCAGAACTCCGGATAGTCTGCAGATTGGACCGACGTGCAGCGGAACGAGAATTGGCAGTGAAGGTATCCGAGCGGTTATGATTGGTAGCTTTGGTCCTAGTTAGTTGGTAATCGGCCCCGGATACAGAGTCCAACATCGAAGAAATTGCAACTTCAGATTTTCACTTGTGGCTCAATAAGAGGAGCTGTCTGAGTAATTTGGTCGCGCGATTAGAAATTTGTGGCGCGCGAAGTAACCGCCGCGAGCGTCACCGTGACGCCGTCGAGAGAAGTTAGAGTACCGCAGTAGAGATGAGCCCACTAGTTGCACAACGCGATTGGATCGCATCTGAGGAAACATGCTCTACCATCGTTAATTGTATCCAGCATGGAAGTGAGTTGTAATGAGCAAGTTGGTAATTTACAGTTGGACCACTACACATAAAAAATTACACAATAATCATAAGTCCGCGGTAGTATAGTGGTGAGTATTCCTGCCTGTCACGCAGGAGACCCGGGTTCAATTCCCGGCCGCGGAATTTTCTCTGCATTTTCACGTGCTGCGATATAATGAAACTACATGCTACATATCAGACAGATATACGGTTCAACTCTAGAAACGTCCTAATAGTGTCAACTACGATGATGTAGCACCCTTTGCGGCAAGAATGTCATGAATGTTCTCGAGGAGAGTCCGTAGACTTTGAGAAGAAGCGTCAGACTTTTTCAAGGCACCGCGTACTCGACCGAGAAGCATAAGGCGTTCGGAGAGCAATCTGAATGAAACACTCGGGCAATTTCGAGACGCCTTTGAGGAGAACATTGCATGTCATGCTGACCTCGTCCAAGCACAGACCCCCAAATGCATCTCGAGGAATCCTCACCGCTGTCTATGCCTTTCATTAACCTTCGCCTCCTCAGTCTCCTTCTTACGTCTTGCCAACTCAGCGGCGGCCATTCCCATTGGCGTCTTAGGCGTACGGGGTGGAATAGGTCCTTTACGAGGTGTTCGCCCAGGAGTGTGTGAGTTACATGCCGCTGGAGATGGGACTCCTTGCCCAGTTGATGACCGGCGTGTACTCATTAAGAGCTGAGCCTCAAAATTCTGCCTGAAAACTATCGACATAGACTAATCCGAATAGGACAGCAGCACCTCTCATTCCTCAGGCGTTTGTTTTCTTCATATAAACTGTTGATTTCACGTCTCAGATGCTGAACGTAATGGACCCTCTTGCTCTGTGGGAGCTGCCTCCCTCCCGAATCCGCCGCGGTGATAACCTTCATCTCAAAGTGCTCCATCATCTTGTGGCACCGGCCAACCTCACAAGCACGCCCATAATCCCACCATAGCATTCCGCCCTACCTCCTCAGTAGCACTCTCAAGATCAGCACGAGTGGAAGACAGATCCCCTAGGGCCTCTTGCAGTGTCCTGTTCATCTCTTCAATTTCTCCCTCAAGCGTTTGACGCTGCTCAGCACACAGACCGGTTGTTCGGAGTAACTACCAGCGAGTACATCCCTCCCACCGATGTGGTTACACACCGTGTCACCTCTATCTCAGCCTCAAGCTCAGCAATCTTCCCCATCGCCTTTTCCAATTCTCCGTCCAAGTCCACCTTCACTTTGTTGTATTCCTTCATACAAATCTCAAGTCTCGACACTTCTTCGATTAACATCAGCTCTCTCTGAAGCAATCAATTCGGACCTCCCCTCCCCCCTCAACACAGACCTCTCGAGTATCACTCACAAGCCCCTCCACCTCCTCCTTTTCACGCCGCATACCCTCCACCGCGACCACCAGCTCAGCAGCTTCCTCCTTCACCCGGGCCGCCTCACATTCGGCTAATCGGAGTAGTTCCGCACTAGATGCAGCCTCTCGAGCGCTCTCCTTCTCAGCAGCTCTCAACACACCAACAACACACGCCTGAGCTCCCGAATACCACACTGGTGAACGCTAAGTACTACTAACCCTGGCCACAACCACAGCTGCCTCCTGCTGACACTGCAGAGTCTCGTAATAGGACACTTTGAACTGTAAATCAAGCATGTTAGTCTCAGCGTTAACCAATGAGTCCCCAGCGGTGGCGAGATCTTCCGAGAGCTCCGCCGCTCGACTCTTCCACTCCTTCAGCGAAACCCCCATGGAGTTCAGCTCCAACTCTCTGGCGGAAACTTGTGATTGTGAATGCTCGCTTCTGAGAGTATGCAAGTATGATGCACTTCGAAAAATACAAAACTAAACACCTACTGTAGTCTCCACTTGTCGCACTGTTCGGCCATAGCAGCCAAAGTCTGATCCTGCATAGTGAGGCGAATCTCCAACATACGTATCTTCTCCGTCGCCTCCTGCTGAGCAACGCCCGTCTTTGCTGCCTCCCGGGCTGCGGTGGACTCCGTATCGAGCACCGTTGAGCGGAGCGATGCAAGCTAACAAGCATTTTTTTGAAAATGTATTGCTAATTTCTTCAGCCGAGTTTAGAAGTCTGCAAAACTACATCATGGAAACTCCTACACGACCTGTAGTATAAAAGTGTACAGAATCCCAATAGGAACTTCACCGTGAATATTCCATCATCACGTTTAAGTGACCACCATATACGTATACTCGATTAGCGACCAACCTCAGCAAGCAACCTCAGCTTCTCCCTCTGCCACTCCCTAGTAGATTCCCTCAGCATACTCTCCGCTACTGCCGCCCTCCCCGAGGAAATCACAGTCTACTAGGATGCCCTTTTCAGACGAAATGAGCTCAACTCACTTCTCTAGTTTTGGTATTCACTTCTCCCTTCATTTCCTCAATTCTCTCTCTTTCCTCGGCCAACTCCATTTCCACCCTCTCCAACTTCACTTCAACTGAATCTCTCCCCTCCTCACTCGCCCGAAGCTGCCCGATCGTCTTCATGAGCTGTGCCGTGATATCGGTTACCTCACAAAAACACATCCCCCCCAAGATCTCAAGTTGACTCACCTCTCCCTTCAATTCAGCGATGATATTATTATTATAATGCCCAACCGCCGCATCCAGCAGTGGAGCGGAGACTCTCCTCAGCCGCCTCCTCCTCTTCACACTACTACTAACCCCAACCCCAGGAGTCCTAGGGGAATCCTGACGCCAGGAGCAGCTA